TTCCCATCCTCCGCGCCCTCGCCGACACAACCCCATTTTTTCTCTTTCTCTTCAACCACTCACAACCCCACGCCCTGCCCCCCCACCAAACCCAGGTCTTGCATGCCCTGCTGCCGCCCGACGTGGCCGCCAGCGTCAGCGGCCGCACCTACGTTGCGGTCACGCGCGTGCTGCCGCGCGGCAGCCCCATGCTGCAGCCGCAGCTGGTCAGCCAGTTCCGCGACAAGGAGGACCTCATAACCGCGCTGATGACGTCATGCCACGTGGTTGCGAGGCAACGCCATGCCACGCCGCGCGGGCGCAGGGCGGTGGGGGCTCATGCTGTGCCCCCTGGACTCACCACGCTAGCGCTGGCCGGGGCGCCTGCCACCGCGGCCCACAGCAGGGGTGATCGCGGACCCCACAGCATCTTGCGGCTAGGGTGCCGGCCTCACACCAAGTCTAGAGGCCAGTGTGTTGTGCCTGCAATTGAAGTGCCATTTGCGCTCGGACTCCCCGCATTTCCCTCCAGATTCCCGTCTACATGAACGGCAGGCTGACCAACCAGTTCCGCGCCGCAACACACTTTGATGTAGGTGGGGGCGCAGGGGGGGGGGTGATGTGAGTGTGATGAATTGGTGCGATGCATTGCAACGTGCGCCCCCCTTCCCCCCCCCCCGCTGCTGCACTTACAAACTTACGCGAGCAAGCAGGCCGCGGGGCGTGGTGGCACGGCCGGCTGTTGAGGGCTCGTTTTGCTCCTTGGACCCGCACATGGCCAACCTGCCCCTCTTCTTGATTTCGGCTTGCCCTCCAAAGGGTTTTGGTGTCTAAAATCCAGGTGTCGGTGATCAGATCAACTCCCTACGTATATTCCACACCCTCTTGACACCGCGGCGCCCCCCCTTCCTGCTGATTTCCCCCTCAACCCACCCCCCTCCCCCCAGGCATCACCAACTTCCTGCCGTCACCCATGGGCGTCACCCACACACTCTGCGTCTGCTGCCTGCCAGCCGAGCAGCTCGCCTCCCTTGGCCGCATCCACATAGCGCCTGACCTCGGCCCTGGCGGCTGGCCCTACGACAGACATGCGTCAGATGCTGTCATGGGCGTTCGAGCCGGCGGACCAGGGTATGCTGGAAGGACTGGTGGCGCGCGGCCGCGCCGACGCGCGCGCGTGGGTGGAAGCGACGGGCGTCGGCGCGCTCGCGGCGGCGAGGAGGGGCGCGGCCGCGACAGCGGGGGAGAGCGTGGAGGCCGCGGCGGCGGCGCCTTCCGCGACCGCAGGCGGCGGCCTGGTCCTGCCATAGGCGCGTATGCGCGACTTGGGCCTCCCGGCCCTGCTGTACCCCTGTACCCGTACACCCAGCCACCCACATTTAAAGAAGAAGATTAAATCGGGCGCGTTGAAGCCCCGCTCCCACCACTCACCGAGATTTTCTTGGGGTTCATATCGACTCCAGTGCTGAAGACAAGTCTCTGCGTGTCAAGTCTGGGCGTGCATCACAGATGAGGAGTGCAAAGGAAACGCAATCAGCCCCAGCACCAAGCCGCGTGCCGGCACAGATCGTGGCCCCAGAAAGATGAGGCCCCCCTTTTCCCATGAACCCCGGTGTTTGCTGCGGCAGTCGGGACGGGGCGGCCGTGCCCGGCGGCCAGCAGGGCGCCCCCCGTGTGAGCTTGATTGAACCACGCTCCCACAGGTGTAACCTTGCAACGCACGTGACTGAATTCTTGCGAGTCGTGAACCCCAACTGATTACGCGGGCCTCCAGGGAAACAAGTATGCCAGAACAGAAGTCGCCGCGACCGCGGCGGCAACGCTGCCATCCCAACAGTGCGTGCCACGCAAGGCGCCACCATTGGTGGCATCGACTCAGCCCGGCTCCTCCCTTTCGTCCCCACATTTTCACACTGCAGACGACCGATGATGCAATCGTCACACGGCAGCGGAAAAACATCATTGTAGGCCTTCTACATGAGCTCATTACTCAGAACACCAATGTTTACAGATTCACTACTGTCAACAGTCACCAGAACCCAGGCCCTGTTGTTAACATCAGCACGCGCGACTTGACATAAGCAGCACCATGGTGCGGCGGTGGCCACCACCAACAATACCATCGCATGTGCCCAGGGCTCTGCGGTCAGCTAGGAAGTCTATATGCTATAGATTAGGGCAATGTTGCCCAGGGCTGCCTGATGCTGTGGCCTGTCGTTGAAGAAGACTGAGCCGGTGAAGATTGTATGTTGCCGTATGCATGCACGGATGCACGCAACTCCAGCTTCCAGCCATGAGCATAAGGGCGCCAGGAGGGCTGGTGGTCGTGGTGCTGGGAGGGCGGGCGGCGTAGCCGCTTTGGGGCAAGCTGTCCCTTGAAGTGGCTGCTGCTGGTCACGGGTCCCCTAGGCCCGCCGCCCTGGGCCCCTGGCTTCTTCCTCAGCAGCAGCGTCTTACCGGGTGCACGGCGCCAAGAGCCGCGGTGCTTCTTGCTGCCCCGGTAGGCGCCCCTGGGTGACTGGGCTTGTCTTTCATCTAGTATGGTTGTTTCCCTTTCCGAACAGACTTAAGAAATGACCTCTGCCCCTATCAGTATTTGGGATGTCATCCTGCCCCTATCAGTAGTCGCAGTGTCATCCTGCGCTTCTGGTGTGTACTAATGGGGGAGTCACGGACCGTGAATCTTTGGTGCTGACACCCGCAGGCGGAGGTTTGAGGTGCTCACTCTCAAGGACAGATATTCAGCTTTGAACAGCCTCCTGGATGGAATTGCAGCGCCATGCTTGATGACATGATGTCAACACAAGTGGCCTGCCAGGCCACGGTCCGTCAAGATGGGTGCATTTTTCACATCAAAGCCGTTTTGCCCATACGCAGGCCCTGCACGAACCTAGTCAACTTATTCGTTTTGTGGGTAGCGCACCTGGAAACTTGAGAGGAGCGTGCAGGTTCGCAGTTCCATAAGTCAAGCAACTCGTGGACCTCTAGTCGCCGCAAAATCTTGTCATGTGTCTGCGCTTCTCTTTCAAAGCCGAGCATAGGGAGTTGCATGAGAAAGTTTGTCGGCTCGACGTTTCATCACCGTGCGGTAGTTCTGTTGTTGCCGTGCGGGGCGCCCACGATGCCTTCCACCCTGCTGAGCGCGCGGTTCACGCTCGCTTCTGTGGTTGTGGTGGTGTTGCTGCTGGGAAACATGCTGGACGGGGTGCTGGGCGCCAGGTATGCCAGGCAGAGAACC